GGGGGGGGGGGGCTTGGGGTTACTGATGCTTTGTAAGACCCGATATCGATCCTGCCCTGTTTCAGACCAGTTCGATTTGTCCTACCCGCATTTTGGACCTCAAATGACGAAATGATGAAAAACATCAGTCCAGTGAAAATATATTTACCCAACTTCACGTAAATAAATGTAAAGAAACCGTTCCATCTTATGATTTTCAGGAGATTTGCATTAGACAGCTTCACGAGGTGTTAAAAAAGAACAAAAGTTCTGACTGGATTTGTCCTACGTGGGATAATTCGCACTTTATTGGTAATAATTTCGCTGGACTTAATTTTCGTGATTGCCAAATAGTGGCAAAATTTAAATCGCGAAAAAAATTTACTGCGAAAATGAGCGAAATTGTATGCCTTTGGTGTACAAGCCATTTTTTATTTTAACTTTAACTTTAACTTTAACTTTAACTTTATTTGATTTACCACAAAAATACAAATAACGATAAAACAAGACAGTTACACAAAAGCAAATGAAAGTGGCGAGGAAGCCCAAACAGAAACCATGAGGCTTATAGACAGTGCCTATCAGAATTAGATGCTAAATGCTCTTTTAGGCAGTCATGTGACTCGTAAACTCAGGACTGTATATCACCCTATGTCACGCAATGCAGAATCCGGAATCCCGCAAATTTTGGATCATTATATTTTTCGGGGGAAACTACCCACCTACCTCTCCCCTAAGCCAACATTAAAACTTACTTCGCACTTAGGGCAAAATGTTGGCTTAAGGGAGGGGTTGGTGGGCAGTTTCCCAGGAACGGATAACGATCCCAAATTCATTACTTGTGGAATCCGGACTCCAGCTATGGATTGGAATCCAGAATCCAAGTTTCACTGACAAGGAATCCAGGATCCAGGGTAGGAACGAGTGAAGGAACTCTGACGGGATGCCAGCCAATTTTTTCTTTTTTTCTTTGCTATTTATGTTGTACTGACGGTTCGCGGCGTAAAATAAGAAAAAAGACGTCTTGTCCTGTCCTGTCCGTTTCTGGAGCTTTATCACACCGTCAGTATGCGGTTTAGACGGTTTATTTCATCCTACGTATTTTAAGAACGGACCTGTGGATGTTTGAGTATCATTTATAACATGTATGTGACTTGGTAAAGCCTTTATTTTTCGATACTTTCTTAACCCTTTGAACCAAAGATCAAAATTTGAATTATCATTTCTTGCCCTTATTCATTTCCGACAGAAGTAGTGGGGAGAAGTTGATAAAATATCAAGCAAACCTTGTGTGATCATGTCCGTTATTCTCATGACCACTCTGTTTTACAAAGCATTGATATTACAAGGAGAAATTTAATTCTGATCACTCTTAGGGCTTAAAGGGTTAAGCAATGGCAAGATTTTGAGCAACAGCTTCAGCCAACCCCCGAGCAGGTACTCCCTATAATGGCCTATATGGGGAGGCTCCGCCCGAAAGGGGTACCTTTTTTCAGGCCCCAGGGATAGGAAAGGGTGGGCAATTTCACTTGTTGAAGTATATGAAAGAGTAGGGATGTCAGGAATCTTCCGATTGCTTCTAACACAATAGGTTTTCCCGATAATATTCACGTTAAAACGACCATCAGACTCGAATCACTTCACAATTTAATTTTCACGCTATAAGGTTGATTATTCAATTACAATCGCCAGATCTCCTTGATTCGCACATGGTTTTGAAATCCTAAACTTACATCACGTCATTACAGCTTATCACTAAGCGACTAGATCAAAGGAATAAAGTCCCCTTTCACAGCGTGACAATCACGCAGTCCATTTTTTCAACAGGGAAATCTGTCATTCCGTTCCGTCAAAAGGGATAACTGATGCATTTTATTGCTATGAATAAGTCGAGATTTTGTGATTTATTCATATTTTAAGACATCTAATTTACAGAAGTTAAAAGCGATGCAAAATTCTAAACTAAAAAGTTCCAAACTAAAAACTGTGAAAGGGCAACCATTTTTCATAATAGAAGGTATATGGTACAGTTGAACCCGCTTTTCGGACACCCGCTTAATACGGACACCGCGTTATTACACTAGGAGACAGTTTTCTTTGTCCCTGCGGAGAAAGCCCTTACATTTTCTCTAATTCAGCCCGCTTAAATACGGACACCCATTAACGCGGACACCGGACACTTGCCCTACTGACAAATTCTCATAGAAGGTAAACCTTGCTAATACGGACACTTTACATTCTGAAGGTTAAAAATGCCCTTGGGTGACATCGTGACGATGTTCCTAGTGCTTCATTACACCGGAGAGGATGATTTGTAGACGTCAATTTCAGACTATTTTGGCATCAAAAGAGTTATGCAGAGATCAGTTTTGTTTTAAGTAGTATATAGCTGAGCGATTTTAGAGTGTTTCCGTGGATTTTTCCGCGAAATGACGGATTTAAGAAGATTAGAGATCTTAATTAATTTGACCATGCTAATGTGGTCTTTTACTTCTTTAGTATTTTGTTCTAATAAAAGGTGTCTTTTTTACTGGAATAACATGACCCAGTTAATATGGACACCCCGTTAATACGGACATTTTCTATAGCCGCTTCAGTGCCCGTATTAACCTGCTGCAGGCGTTCAGGTAGTAGAGCGCGGGAGAAAAATTCACGAAGAAAAAAAATACGAGGGAAGACTCATCCTCCCCGTTCCCAAACCCCCCCCACCCCCCCCAAACCCCCCACCCCAGTTTTTGCGGTTTTGCGATGATTTTTATTTCAAGTTGCAGTATTGCGGTTTTACAAAACCAAGCGGTTTGAGAAATTTTCGGGTAATTTCATTGCGGTTTGCGGTTTTCTTATGTTATTCTGTGCGGTATTTACACGCATTTCTGTGCGGTTTTGCGGTATTGGTACCCCCATTACGCCCCCCTCAAACACTGTTATTTCTCACACGTTTGCCTACTCGTCAAGATGGCGTCGAAAACCGTGGCAAGGTCTATTATGAAAGGAAAATCTTGTTTGTCTCCAAAATAAATCTACTCCTAACGTAAACGTGTAAAAATTAAGCCAAACAATAATGCCTCGTGCCCATGAATAATGATGTTCCTGAAGTTGTAAGTTACTCGATGGCTGTAATCAAGGTAGTGATTACGAAATTGCGCGTGCTGGAAAATTACATGAAGGAAAAGAAATTATGCAACTAAATCCCAGCATGGTTACATTTGAGGCGGCCCAAGTGAACCGGCCAGCAATTAACCAAAGTTCAATTTTAACAATAACAGAGGTCAATATTGTGATTTTAACAACAAATTAAAAAGAGAAAGAAACCAACCATATTTTACAGCTGATTAGTCAAAGCTTGATTACCAGGGAAGACCTCAGAAGTAGTAGCCTGATTAATCCTTGTTCGATGACGGAAAATACTTAGATGGTCGATCAGTTTTACGAATTTCACCCAAGTAAACTTAAATAAAATTATACCAAATACCGCTCGCTGTGTTTGCGCAACCGATCGAACAACAGCCGTAATTTGCATTTCTGGCTAACTATAAGAGTTGTGTTCGCAAGAACCAAATTTTCAAACCGTTAAGTCAGGTTATTAACCCGTGATGCTCTCGACGAATTTTTGTGAATGAATGTTTCAAACTTTAATAAGCTTAGGTTCGGTTTCTTTCATGTATACGCTTTGGTTCCCAAGCGGAGCTTTGAGGCTATGTTGTTCGACAAGCGACGTGCCCTTGAAACAGCGAAATAGGACAGCAGAAATGGCGATAAACAACAGAAAGTTGGGTTGAAACTGCGACAGCGACAGAGAAAAGCGCAAATACAATAGTAAAAACACCGACAGCGACATGGCTTTCTCGTCAATGGGCGAAACGACAGGTTTGGAAATTCAGACTAAGGACATACGTAATTAAACTGAAACCCTCCTATCTCTCTGGAGGTCACGACTAGAAGCCGGTAAGAAGTTCGAAGACAAAATAAATCGACGCAGTTTTCGACACTTACCTGCCACAAGTACGATCAGAGCAGTGTAGTGAAGATATACTGCTTACCAGTGCAGTACTATTGGTACTAATGTAAATTACACACAGACTGCTCTTCCTTCCGGTAGGTAACGAGGCACAGCTAAGGTGTAACAGTACAACATTCAAATTATAATTTCGACACAATTTGTTACGGCTCGTCACGCATTCCTACGTTTTGCGCAATTATCACATGTATTCAATTGTGTGTAATGTTTTGTTTTCAGTTTCTCCTAATGGAGATGATGTGGACTACGGAAATACAAATTTTAAATAAGAAATGATTGTCGCAGTGGTAATTGCAATTTAAGCAATTGCAAATAAGCGCAAAAAAATTTCGCGACTTCAACGGTGATTATAAATGATTCGAACCCATGGCCTCTGCGTTAGCGCGGCAGTGCTCTACCGTTTGAGCTATGAAGACCCGTACACTGGGAGCCGGCCAATTTGTTGAGTTCATCTTAACCCGTGAGTAAATTGCAATTACCTCTGCGACGATCAGATCTTCATCTTAAAAATTTCTCCCGGGTTTAACAGTTGTCCCAAGAGAAATTGAAGATCACGTGGTATTTCAGAGGGCAAACACAAGTTGATTCGGGGGGCGGGTGTGGGGGGGGGGGGGGG